TATATATTCTTTTTTTTGAAAGAATGCTTTCTTAGCACCTCACTCAAAGCTAGAGCACTCAAGTTATATTAACTGTTTTCTAACTGAGCCAAGCCTCTCGCCGTGCCGTCTCAGTGTGTGGGGTGTTAAGACAGTCCTGGTTCTCTGAATGGACAGTCTTCTCCCCCTCCCTTGACTCAGATGCTATTAATCAGGACCGTGCACAGTGAGTCTCACTAAAGGACCTACTGTGGACAACCGGGTCTTTGTGTTCTTCCCCGAGTTGGGTTTGACTCACATCAGTCCTGAGTTACTGTGTTTATTCTTCATGATTCCTTAGGTTCATGATTTACATTTATAATATGTTAGATTTAGGATTTGGGGATAAGAGACCCGAAAAGGCACACTGCAAACCACCACCATGGTTCTTTTGATTACCTCATAGTCCCAGGACATGCTGCTGGCCAGCGCATAACACATTTATTATCATAAATGGCAACTCCTCAGTCTCCTTCACACGAGAGCAACCCAGGCAAGGCTTCCAAATTAATAATCTTTTGGGGATTTTTCTTAGCTGCAATGGAAATCTGGTGCTGGATTCTAGAAATCGTGGAAAAGAAGGTAGCAGGGGGGTTCTATTTACTTCTGATAAGCCATCATTTGTTGCTTAGTTGCAAACAAAGGCAAAGACTGAGTGTGTAGTTGCAAAACATAAAACATGCTCCAAAGCAGCCAGGAAGCAAAAACATTCAAATACAACTCTGTTCCCTAAACATTTTTCAAACACACAACATGTGCTGGACACGAAGCTAGGCACTCACTAGAGACATAGTAACACAGCATGCCTTTCTTGCTCAAGGAGCTCACAACATCCGAGAGGGTAGGAATATTTAACAAAGAATTCTAGTACTCTAGTATAACTTTAGGCTTCATGTAAAGCTGGTTTTGCAAACGCACAGAATAGGAGGCAATCAACTCTACAGGAGGAGGTTAAAAGAAGTTTCATAGGCAGTTTGGCTTCACTTTGCAGGATGCATAAATTTTCACCTGCAATTTGAAGGAATATATTTTAGGCCGAGGAAATTGCCTGAATGAAAACAGAAAGCGTGAAAATACAAGCGGCATGCAGTAACGCATGCAGGGTCCAATGTGGCTGGAGTGGAGACTACTGGGAGAGGAGGTGACAGGCGAGAGTGGAGAAATTGATTTAAAGTACAATCACATCCAAAAACTTTGGAATGTATAGGATAGAACCAGGAAACAATCAGGCTTTTTAAAAACACAGGCTTGCAAGGAAAAAGGTATGTTTTAGAAATACGACTGGCTATGTGGAGCATAGATAGAAGAAAGAGGCTGACTATGTGAAGGTAGAGTTGCTTCCAGATATTAAGAAACAGATGCCCTAACAAACAAAACTAGTCCGTAACAGAAGACTTGCCAGTTTGATGATGGCACCATGAAATGCAGACTTGAAACATTGGAATTTTAATTCCTAAAATCCCTGTGGAACTTGTAGTTTAAGAAGCACTGTTTTGGTCACATTAAAACAGCATGAATAATAATCCACAAAAATGTAAAATTCTCGCCCTAGCTGATTGGCTCAGTGGCTAGGGCAGTGGTCGGCAAACTGCGGCTTGCGAGCCACATGCAGCTCTTTGGCCCCTTGAGTGTGGCTCTTCCTAAGCCTTAGGAGTACCCTAATTAAGTTAATAACAATGTACCTACCTATATAGTTTAAGTTTAAAAAATTCGGCTCTCAAAAGAAATTTCAATCATTATACTGTTGATATTTGGCTCTGTTGACTAATGAGTTTGCCGACCACTGGGCTAGGGTGCCAGCCTGCAGACTGAAGAGTCCCAGGTTCGATTCTGGTCAAAGGCACATGCCTGAGTTGTGGGCTCGATCCCCAGTGGGGGTTGTGCAGGAGGCAGCCAATCAGTGATTCTCTCTCATCATTGATGGTTCTATCTCTCTCTCGCCCTCTCCCTTACTCTCTAAAATCAATAAAAATATTAAAAAAAGAAAAAAGGGTACCAAGACCATTTAATGGGGGAAAGGAGAGTCTTTTTTAAAAAATGGTTCAGGCCCGGTCGGTGTGGCTCAGTGGTTGAGCGTCAACCTATGAACCAGGAGGTCATGGTTCCATTCCCAGTCAGGGTACATGCCTGAGTTGCGGGCTCGATCCCCAGTAGGGGGCATGCAGGAGGCAGCGGATCAATGATTCTCTCATTGATGTTTCTCTCTCTCTCTACTTCTTCCTTCCTCTCTGAAATCAATAAAAATTTAAAATAAAAAATGGTTCAGGAAAACTGGATATCTACTTGCAAAAGGATGAAGCTGGACCCATTTGTTACATCATATGCAAACATTAACCAAATATGGGTCAAAGAACTAAACTTCAAGAGCTAAAACTATAAAACTCTTAAATGAAAATATAAGAGAAAGCCTTCATGACCTTAAACTTGGCAATGATTTCTTGGATATGATACTAAAGTACAGGCAACAAAAGGAAAATACAAATTAGACTATGAAAAGGCAACCCATAGAATGGAAGTAAATATTTACAAATCGTGTATCCAATAAGAGCTTAACACCCAGAATATATAAAGAACTGCCACAACTTAACAACCAACAACAAAATAAAACCCAATTCAAGAATGGACAAAGAACTTGAATAGACAGTCCTCCAAGGATATACAAATGGCCAATACACACATAAAACAATAATCAACATCTTAGTCATTAGGGAAATGAAAATCAAAATGACAATGAGACACTAGTTCACATCCATTGGATGACTATTATCCAAAAATAGGGGAAGGGAGTAGATAAATTATAACTTTCACGCATTACTTCCAGGAATGTAAAATGGCCTAGTCCTATGGAAAACAGTATGGAGGTTCCTCAAATGAGTTAAACACAGAACTACCTTCTGATTCAGAAATTCCAATCCTAGGTATATACCCAAAGGAATTGACAGCAGACTCAAACAGATACTTGCATACCAATGATCAAAGCAGCATTATTCACAACAGCCAAAAAGTGGAAACCTCCAAGTGTCTATCAACAGATGAATGGATAACCAAAACGCAGTTTTTATGTACAGCAGAATCAGTATTCCACTTAATCATCCACCAAAAGGAATGAAGTATATGCTGCAGCATAAATGAACCTTGCAAACATTGTCCTAAGTGAAATAAACCAGACCCAAAAGGTCAAATATATTATAATTTCACTTATATGAGGTACCTAGAATAGTCACATTCAGAGACTGAAAGTGGAATGGCGCTTCCCAGGGGCTGTGGGGAGAGGAGGAGAGGAAGTAATTATTTAATGGTTATGGGATTTCTATTTTAGATGATGAACAAGCTCTGGAAGTGGACTGTGGTGCTGGTTGCACAGCAACATGAATACACTTAATGCTACTGAAACAAACGCTTAAAAATGCGTATAATGGTAAATTCTAAGTTATGTATACGTTACTACAATTAGAAAAGAAAAACAGCAGGATAGTCCAATTCTGACTAGATGAGTTTCTACTGGGTAAAGAACACTGAGTTAACATGTAGGAAGATCCGCTCCTTTTCAGGTCCTGGTGGGAGTTAACTGCTGGAAGTCATTGCAAGGCTGAAATGCACAGGCCGTCCCTTCTCACTAGAGCTGGTCAGGATGCTCAAAGACAAAGCAAACTTACATTGCAGTTTGATGAGCCATCGAATGTGGGGTAAGAGCCTTCCGGCCAGTCGGCAGGGTCCAAGGCAGTTGACTGCCGGTGCTGGGCCTCGTACTCCTTGAGCTGCCACGAGAGGAAAAAGAAGATTGAAATGGAAATAATCGCCGACACTGTCTACCAAGCAGCAGAGAGAACACTGTGGCACCTTCCTCATGCCACTATAGGTGACAAAGTGCCAGCCAGCCAAAGGCCAGGTTCACAAAACCAAAAGAAAGACCCACGCCCTGCCCTGTGGCTTTTCATCTGACTTAAAGCAACAGCCACACTGACTCTTTGTATTCTGTCTTCCGAAAAGAACCTCCATTTCCTCCCTCTGACATCAAAACTCATCTCTCACAGTTCAATGTAAGTTTTATAGCAAAATTTGTTTGCTGTTCGGCCTCTGAATTACCTCTCTTTGTAGAAGACACGATACAGTAGACTATGAACATTTGAACAAAGGCAGTGAAAGCCTGAAACTGATATTTTAAAATCATTTGCTCTTCTTGTTCTAGATTGTTTAAGTGACCAGTTCAATGTTAACACCTAATAAATACAATGGGATTTACTGGGGACCCTTGTGGGTGACAGGAAAAGAACAACGGATCTAGAATATGTGCAGAGACATTGAGAGTTGGCGTTTAGAAACTACTTTTTTTGAAAAATACAAAAAGACAAGTGAAATATTATAGAAAATTGGCAAATGTGAAAAGTTCCAGGTGTGTTTTCATAAAACACACAGAAATTTAACTCTGCTACATACTACAATGAAACCGTCACGCATTAAAATTTTACTATAAAGCACTTTTTATATATGAATTTAAGGCACTGGTCAAATCTTGTTCCATGAATAAAGCCACCAAACAATGGAAACATCTGACCTGACAGCCCAGGACACGGTGTCACACTGCCCTCAACCACTGGGGCTCCGTGGACATGGCAAAGCCACCAAACTGACAATGTCCCCCCAGCTGCTTTCCAAAGCATCACCTCTGCTATGAAATTCTTTATGTGGGCACATGTGACAGGAGCTGGACCAGGCAGAGGCAGACAGTATTGATTAAAGAGCAAGAGCTTAGCTGCTGAGAGCTGTGCCTCAGTTCTTCCATCAGGAAAATGGGCATGACAGTGAGTCCATCTCACAGGCCTCTACCAGAACTAAGAAAAGACAGCGAAGCTCTTAGCACACTGCTCTTGTGCAAGAGAGTATTACCATAGCATTACTATCGCCCCGTGGTCTCGGATAAAGGAGAGCTCACACTGACTCCAGGCATTTGCACTTTTGCTATCAGGGGCACTAATCTCACTTTAATCTTTCTAGTACTTTAGGGCATTGCATTAGTATTGTTCTAATCTTTGTAGAATGTTTACACGATGTACCAGAATGCTTGATATACTGGTTTCTGCAATGCTGATTTCTTACTGTATTATCGGGATAGCAGCCACCTGAGCAACCTGGGTTACTTATTTACTCCAAGTCTATGTTCTACTTTTTTTGTAATCCTCACCAGAGGGTATCTTTTCCATTGCTTTTCAGAGAGAGTAGAAGGAAGGGAGAGAGGGAGGGAAAAAGAAGGAGAGACAGAGAGAAACACATCAATGTGAGAGAGACACATCAATTGGTTGCCTCCCACACATGCCTCAACCCAGAGTGGGGAGCAAACCCACAACCTGGGTACATGCCCCTGACCAGGAATCGAACCAGTGACCCTTCGGTGCATAGCTGTCATTCTCACCACTGAACAACACTGGCCAGGGCTTATGCTCTACTTTTATACTCAGCCTTAGCCCAGACTCCTAGGAGCCACTAAATAAACTTAATCTTTAAAAACAAGACAAATTCCTAATTAGTCAATCATAAACAGAATTAATATTTTTCTTCCACTATCTGTTCATTTCCATCATTTACTTTGGGGCCTAAGAGTACCTGTATTTCTTCTAATATAGATTCCAAATTGGCCACTTATTTTTATAGTTATCCTAATTTCAACAGGCTATGTGTTTTATTAGTGATCCCGTTACAAAATACAATCTCTAAAAATTTTAAAGTACATTTTATGGGAAAAAACCCCACCTGGTTTTATTTATAATTATATTTTTATATTCCACTTTGCTCCTTAAGAAGTGTTGACTTAAATATAACTTCATGAAGGAAAAACAACTGATCATTTCAATTGAG